GCCCCGTGACTCGGAGCCTCCCGCGGGCGCGGCGGCTGCCGGGCGGTGTCGTGCGGCCCCCCGCGCCCGTGCGGGGACTATGAAGCACCATGGTGTGGTGTGACCGTGGCGTCCAGATGCTGCTGACCACGGTGGGCGCCTTCGCAGCCTTCAGCCTCATGGCCATCGCCATCGGCACCGACTACTGGCTCTACTCCAGCGCCCACATCTGCAACGGCACCAACATCACGACGGACGAGGCGCAGGGGCCGCCGCGGCGGGCGCGGGGCGATCTCACGCACTCGGGGCTCTGGAGGATCTGCTGCCTCGAAGGTACCGGGGCCGCGCCGGGGAGGGGGGAGCAACTTCCCCAGGGGGACCCGGCTGCGCTCCCGGAGCCGCCGGGCAGCGCCCGGGCAGAGCCCAGCAGGAGCTGGAGCCGGAGCCGCCGGGCTGAGCCCCGCCGGAGCCGGGGCCGGAGCCGCGCCGCTGCCTCGGACACGGCCGAGGAGGAGGATGGCGTTACCGTGGCAACCGGCATCTCCGACATTGCCATGGGAACCGGCGGCGGGATGCGGAGCGCTGCCCAGGGGAGCGCTGCCCAGGGGGGCGACCTCGCTCCGCGACCATCGCCGGGGCTTCGCGGCTGTGGGGGGCTCCTGGCGGGGACGGGGCTTTGGGTGCCTTGGGGCGCACCTGAGCCCTACAGGCTTCGGGGCTGGGTCTCCCCTCTCCCCCCTGCCCCCGGGACTTTGGCTTTAGGAGCTTTGGAGCTCAACCACAGCTCTCGGGCAGGACAGCGGGAACTCCAGTTCCTCCCAGTCTGCCCTCAGACAGAGACACCGGGAGCTCAGGTGGAGGGGGTGTTGCCACCGCTCAGGTGCTTCAGTGGGGACTCGGGGTTCCTCGATACAGCCCGAGGGTCAGGCTGGAGGGTGGGAACAATAAAAAGATGGGTGTTGTAGCGGCTGAGCTGGGCAGCAGGACCCCGCTCCCCGCAGAGGCCGAACATGTGGCTCCCGCTCTGAAAATGGAGTTGTGGAGAAGGCGCGGCGGTAACTGCGGGGACAAAGAAGCACATGGGTGTTGCGAGCATTTGGCAGAGCAGGTCGCAAAGCCCAGATGCGAAAGCACATCTGTCAGCCGAGAGCGCGGGGCTCCGGCCGTGGGAACGCGGCACATCCCCGGGAAAGGAGGGACCTGCGCGGGCAGCGGGGCCGTGGCCACGGCGGCTCTGAAGCCGCTCACCTGCTGGTCCATGGTGTCTGGGAACGGCCAGCAGAGCCTCGGTGCTGCCGGAGGAGAGTGTGGGGGAAAGGGAGGGCAGAGGGGGGCTGGTGACTTGTGCCGAGCTGCTTTGTGGCTGGGGTGTGGGGGTACCGGGGCCCCGCTCCCCACCGGGATGCGCTCGGCGGGCGGGCTGCTGCGCACCCCATTCCATCAGCGCGGCTCAGCGCACGGCAACTTTGCAAACCCGGCTTTGTGCTTTATTCCAACTGACAGACGGCTCAGCCCAGACGAGCCCAGCTCCGGTTCAGAGTCGCAGCTGTGTTTAGATGGGTTTTTTTCTCCCCAGAACAGACTGTGGCGTGGTAGAAAACACCTCATTCTCACGTCTGTTCTCATCTTCTCCTCTAGCTAATGATTTAAGGCTACAGTGTAACATGATTTTTCTCTTAAAATACCGGATTTGCTACCTAGCAATAGTAGGCATACATAGAAGAGCTGTAGGAAAAGGAAACATTTTTAGATGCTAAAGAGAGAAAGAATTATTGAAATGTGAAGGTTTATGGGTAATAGCAATGCTTGGCTTTATGACTCTTAAAGGAAATCTAACACTCAGCATGGGCTTTTATTGCACCTGGAAAATGAGGGCTTGCATCTGAGAGCTCCTGAGTTTGCTTGAGAGGTGCTGAGCATCCTCCACTTGAACTGAATCTTGTGATCTTCACTGAGCTTGTTCTAAGTGTCTTCAGCCTCTGTTTTTCATGGAAAATAAGTTTGTTTGTATCTTGCAGGAGCTGCTGAGCTTGTTCAGCTAGGCTGGACCTGTCACCTGTGGGAAAAATCCCTGAGCTTCCCAATGTCAGGATTTCTGTGTAGTCTCCCAGTAACACCATTCATAGAAGTGCAGCTTTGACTGAAACTGGTGGGATTTCTTCCTTGATTTCACCTGGGCTTAAGTCAGGACTTTGTTTAGGAGAGCAGTCAGGGGAGCTGTGGGGAATGGGCAGTGTGGAGGCAGCTCCCAGCTCCATGGCCAAGTTCCAGCCTGGCTGCACCACTGGGCAGCAGTGGTGCCCTCCTGGCATCACCAGGGGATTTTGACCAGTTGCACCCAGGAGCTGTGTGCCAGTGAAGCTCAAACCCCCATCACTTTGGGGGATAAAAAGGCGTTTCATGGGACACATCAAACCGACAGCAAGGGAGCTGTTCTGCTCAAAATTCAAATGCTCATAATCAAATTATAAAGTTACAATTTTTAAAGTTGTCAAATATGTGCTAAGAATGCCCAATTTGAGAAAGCTGTCATCTGTTCACAGAGCTGAGGAGCAAAGACTACATTCTCTCCTCCTTTTTCAGTATGTTCTGTTTTGTAAGATAAAATCTATAGATACAGTAAATTATTCATGTTTTAAACCATGCCATGGGACTTGGATTTCAACATGGAACCATTCCTTTGTTTTATAAAATAATAAAACCATTTCTAGAAGCTGATTTAAAACAACACTCCCTTGACCATTTCAGAGCCTCACTCATTTGAAGTGGCTGAGTCTTTTAGTAATCTAAAGGTAATATTGCAATTCTGAGGAGATACATAGCAGGAAAATAGCTTCAGTTATGGATTTTTATATGTGTTTAAACGGTCTGGCTTCAAACCTATTTTTAGAAATCTTCTGGTGTTTTGGAGAAATAATTGTTAAAACCTCCTTGATTTATTTTAATGGTCTTTATTGCCATTTCACTCATGTCAAAAAGACAAATCTGAGACACAAATATACAGAAGCTGAAAATGCCTTTAACAGCCTCTGAAATTGCTTTTGACATACATAAAGCATTTTGCTGAGCAAATTTCAGGTCAATTGAAATTTCCCAGTAAAATGTTTCTCAGCTTTATCAATTAAACAACCTATATGCTGAATTATGAACAATCACCTGTTCTGTAGCCCCAGTCCCAAGATTTCAAACAAAATTGCTGAAACAGGATGTAAAAGAATAACCTTATAATTCAATTATCAGGTGCTCCTCAATGTTTTCCTGTTTTTCTTTGAAACAATATTTTACAACAAATTGGCATCGTAATTGGAGTGACACAGCTTAGGGATCAGGCATATTATCTTTGTTTGGAGCTGCAGGGATGAAATCATGTTTCAGCACTAGTAGTTGATACTACTATGGAGCTTAGTCACTCAAGAGGCAGCGTTAATGATCCATCACTCACACTCTTGCCTGTCTAATCCCAATTTTGTTCTTTTAGTGTGTTTGCCAGAGGTGGAGGTAGGAGGTTCATTGAGTGGATTTTAAATAATTGCGCCGTTTCTGCGTGGATTTTTAAGTTTTATCCAAGGTAATTGCCTTCGGTGGGAAAGTGAAATAATTCCTGGTGTGGATGTGAGGAGCAGAATGGCTGAGCCTCTGAAGGTGGCCCAGGGCTCCCTGGCAAAGCTGGGGTTTGGTTTTCTGGGCCCAAGACAACCACAACAGCTGCAGTCTCAGCAGCTGAAGCTAAAATGTCACCAGAGCAGGGAGCTTCTGACAGACCCCCCATGCAGCCAATCAACCTGAGACCTGCAGCCCAGCACACAAATTCCCAAGAAGAGCAAACCAGCCCCGTTTTGGGTGCCTGCTGTTCTGTCCCATGCCCACACCTGAGCTGTGGTCGCTGTCAGCACCTCTGGGTCCCTGGGTGCAGAGCAGGGTCCTGCAAGCCCAGCGGATGCTGTGTCCTGTGAGTAACCATTCTGTGGTCAGCCTGAGCCCAAAAAGGGAGATTGAACCACTCCGACTTCCCAGCAGCCCCTGTTCCTATGGGAAATGGGCAGCACAGCTTCCTGAGCCTCGCATGGTCCTACTCACGAGGAAGATCTGTTTAAAATGTTTGCCTAGCAAAAAACAATGTTAAAAACACCACTTTATCCACTGAAACTGCTTATCTTGGTGAACAATCGTGCTGAAGTTAATAGGACAGCTCACAATAGAGCGCTCTGCAGGCTCTGTGACATCAAGATAGGAAATCAAGTAATGTACTTGTAATTTAAATTTATTCAAAGAGTATTTTATTAAACACTTCAGCACATGAATCTCTTTGAACCCATTGTGTCTACTGCTTTTAGTATTCCCTGTTTGCCATTTACTTTTCAAGTGGTGCAATTGGCTGTTTAATTCACGTGGGCCCACGTGTCCTTCCTGGAACATTTATAATGGGGAGGAAGGATCGAGTAAATCATTTCTGGTTTTGAAAACTTGCACAAATGCACATTTGCACAATTATTTGCAAGTCTTCCAGCTTGGATGAATGCACACAAACACGGGAGCTGCGGCACCCGCATGCGCCGCTTCCATGGATACTCCTGAAAACAAAATAAAAATGCTTATACCAATGTTTGAGGCAAGCAAATAAAGGCAGGCTGCTGTCCATCAGTACTGCAAATTCATGGCTCATCCAAAAAGAATGAATATTCCTTAGTATTCTCCAAGCACAGCTATGAAGCTCCAGCACCACCACTGTTTGTAATAAACTGAATACAATGCAGACTTTTTATTCCAATGCTGTGGCCAAAGTGTTATTTGGTGTAGAGCAAGTGTTAAATCCCTCTAAGATCAGACGTGACCTGCCTTGGAGGTTGTGTCCACAGGCACATAAAGAGGTGGTTGCTCTTCTCAGTCTGTGCAGGCACATGAGCCTGTGCTCACACTGTGAAGGAAAAGTGGTGGCAAATGGAGAATACCCAAATGGGTGTCTCTGCTCTGAGAAACTTATTTTGTGATGCTGTAGCCTGTTTTTAGGACAATATATACATATTATTGCACTCTGAAGAGTGAGCTTTCATCCATGAATCTTTCAACACAAACATGAACCCATCAGTGAAGGACTCTGCTGTGATGCAGACCATGTTTGCACTCTTTCATTCCATACATCCTGCTCATACCATCTCCGTTGCCTTGGTAAAACACACTCTCGAGAAGGTCCTTGTGCTTTACTCACTGTTTTTAAGAGCAATTCTTAGCACTCCAGTGTCAGCTTTGCTACCCTGGCTGAAGCAGAGCAGTTTTGCTGGCAACTGATGGAGTGATTTTTTTTTAACATCCATTTTAAGTTAATTTTTTTTTTT